TAAATCCACTTCCACTAGACAAGGGGTGTCTGTGTGTTTATTATGTCTATATTTTGATGTATCAGTTATTAGTTACGTTTTGGTAGGGGGTAGGGATGTATTTTTCAATGAAATCTAACATCCGTTAAATGCATGTCGTCTGGATTTAATAAAAAATTTTATTGTTAACGGCAAAAATTCTTACGGCATTGTTTTCCATTCGTATATTTAAAGATTGGGGGGGGGGTAGGTAGGTTAGAATACTTTTAACTCGAAGGAAAAAAAAAACGCTTCTTAAGCGAAAACACGTTCTTGCTAGACTAGATTTTGCAAACGAGCATTGTTATTACACAATAATATAATCTATGAACACGACCACAATGGAAAAAACCGTGTTTGTTTCCTATAATTCTAACATAAAAATCCATACATTCAGTTAAAAGTAAAAAAAATACTTTGTATTAACTCATGTATGCACAAAGGACATGGGTCATTTAATTTAATGAGGAGTATAAATTAGTAGGAGGATGTAAAGAAACTCACTCCAAATTCCATTTCGGACCGTTATCCAGTACACTATCCACACGTCCATAATACAGTGCTACACAAAAGTTTACAACACATTACAAAAAAATGATTTTAGGTATTTCTGACACAGATTACTGGGCGTAGAACATATATTTAAGTATTCAGTCAATCAAATTTTTAAAAAACTTTAAAAAAGTATCCAACGAAGAAAAACCTATATTTATTAACTCAACTGTTTACAACACACTTTTTTTTTTATTTACAACAGCTTGTTTTTTTTAAGTGTTCAAATTTTACTAGAATGTTCCAAATTTTATGATTACTTTTTATTTTTCAAAAAGTATCTCGCGAAGAAAAACCTATATTTATTAACTCAACTGTTTACAACACATTTTATTTTTTTTATTTACAACAGCTTTTTTTTTTTTTTTAAATGTGGGCTAGAAGTAAGTGGAGTGAAAGTGAGTATAGATACAATTAGACATTCACTTTGTCAATATGACATCTTTTCAAGGACTCCAAGGAAAAAAAAAACACTTCTTAAGCGAAAACACATTCTTGCTAGACTAGATTTTGCAAACGAGCATTGTTATCAAACCTGCAGCATTTTGGGAAAATGTACTTTGGCCCGACGAAACGAAAATTGAACTTTTTGACAGAAATGCTGTGGCAAAGGTTTGGAGAAAGAAGTGTACTGAATATTCGCCGAAGAATATTATTCCAACAGCAAAATTTGGAGGTAGATCAATCATGGCCTGGGGTTGCTTTAGCGCCCAAGGTGTAGGGAACATTGAAATAATAAAAGGGAGGATGAATGGAGTATATTATAGGGATATTTTGGAGAGAAATTTATGTCAAAGTGCACATTTGCTGGGCTTGAAACCAGGTTGGGTCTTTCAACAAGACAGCTATTCTAAACATAATGCAAAGCTTACAAACTCATGGTTAATTTCAAATAGAACAGACGTTCTAAAATGGCCAATTCAATCTCCAGATCTCAATCCGATTAAAAATTTATGGAGAGAGCTGAAACTGAGAATTCAAAGAAGGAACTCGCAAAAGCCTGCATGAAATAAAGGAATTTTGTCGTGAAGAATGGAAGAAATATAAGTTAAGAAACATACAAGAAATTCGTAGGGGAAACTCTAAATGCCTACATGCTGTAATTACCAATAACGGTTACGCTACGAAATATTAAGACATCATTTAATCAATCTATTGTAAACTTTTGCGTTATTATATATTGTTTTTTTCTTCGTGGGATATTTTTTATTGATTATTATTTTAAGATCTGATTGTTTGACGAAAGCCTTAAGCATATATGTATTATTAGCAGTAAAAGTTTCGTTAATCTGAGTTAGAAATATCTAAAGAAACATTTTTTGTAATGTTTTGCAAACTTTTGCATGGCACTGAATATATATATATATATATATATATATATATATATATATATATATATATATACCTTGATGATCCCATGTTTTGAAGCCTAGGTAGGTAGTACCTAGTTCATTAGGATTTATTTTATTTTACTTTTGCTCTACTTAGTGTATTGAGCACTTTTCGTTTTAACTTATTACTCGCTGGGCTTTTTTTTTCTTTCTACCAGAAATTTAAGGTACCGACCATTTCTTTCGCTCTGTTCGAAAGTTTCTGGTTCTTTTTTTTTTTTTTTTTTTACCTCGGATGCCAATTTGTTTGAAAATTGTCCTACCCGGTTTTTTTTTCCCGAGTTTAAATAGATTTACGTCATATATATATATATATATATATATATATATATATATATAAATCCTGATGAGCCAGCTACTACCTACATAGGTTTCACCAACTGGGATCATCAGGGCAAACTGGCTGATGATCCTATGTATTGAAACCTAGGTAGGTAGTACCTGGTTCATTAGGATTGATTTATTTTACTTTTGCTCTACTTAGTGTATTGAGCACTCTTCATTTTTAACTTATTACTCGCTGGGCTTTTTTTTCTTTGTACCAGAAATTTAAGGTACTCGACCATTTCTTTCGTCCTGTTCGAAAGTCTCTGGTTCTTTTTTTTTCCAATTTTTTTTTTACCTCGGATGCCAATTTGTTTGAAAATTGTCCTACCCGGTTTTTTTTTTCACCCACCGAGTTTAAATAGATTTACGTCATACATATATATATATATATATAATTAAATAAAAAATTAGTACCATTTTGAAAACGATGTGTTACTAAATTGTAAAGGAGATGAAAAAAAATAGTGCTAGATACAAAAGTAAACTTGTAAAGCGAATTATATCCTTAAAAAACTAAAAGGAGGCAACCTTTGTTTCAACCATAATAAGTATCATCAGGCAGTACCTCCAACGTATGGGCTGTTGACAACACACACACACACACACACACACACACACACACACATATATATATAAATATAAATATATAAATATATATATATATATATATATATATATATAAATATATATATATATATATATATATATATATATATATATATATATATATATATATATATATATAAATATATATATATATATATATATATATATATAATATATATAAATATATATATAATATATATATATATATATATATATATAAATATATATATATAAATATATATATATATATATATATATATAAATATATATATATAAAATATATAAATATATATATATATAAATATATAAATATATATATATATAAATATATAAATATATATATATATAAATATAAATATATATATATATATATATATATATATATATATATATATATATATATATAATATATATATATAAATATATATATATATAAATATATATATAAAAATATGTATAAATATATATTTATATTTATATATATATATATATATATATTTATATATATATATATATAGAGAGAGAGAGAGAGAGACAGTCACTACTTAGGAGGAGGAAAAGAGTATGAGGAGAAAAATATAATCTGCCTAGCTCATCCTGGCTCATAATTCTCCGATTTTCTCAAGTTATATATAGTTATATATAGTTATGGTTAATTATATCTGCATGTCGAAGGTGTATGTTTATAAACTGTAATTCGGACTTTTCTAACCAGACGTTTTTTTTTTTGTGGCTGAATGATTAACAGCACATCACATCAAATGACGGTTCCATTGATTTCCATAATAAAAATGTGGGAGAAGGCACTTTTACTTTAATGGGAAAACTACGGACAAAGTTTACCTTAGGAGCAGGCAAATAAAAAAACAAAAAAACAAAAACGTTGTTTCAAAAGGGCGGTATTTCTCTTGATCCTCGTAATACTGTATAACAGTAATTCTTCTTATCCTAAATATTAGGTTGGTGCAAAAATAATGTCGTTTTCTCTTTTAAAGATAACGTCAAAAAACGACATTATTTTTGCACCAACCTAATAGCTTTTCTGAGAATTTTAATAAGACCATAACATATAAAAGGCAGGATGTACTTTATTTTTTAAAAAGGTTAAAAAAAAAACCCTCATATAGTTATTGTTAACTCTTCTCTTTTTATGGGCTGTGTTCCTTCAGGATGATGGCGATCGTGGCTCTCCACCACTTCTTTTCTATGGTTAATTACAGATTATAAATTAATAATCTTCTAATTAAAAAAAATGAAATAAATAAATCACGTGTAACTTTTCTGTTGTGAAATTTTCGTGAAAATATATCTAAATTCAGTTTTATATATTATGGCCTTAAAATCCTAAAAATAGCTTTTAAAAAATTTAAGATTATTGTCGGAGGATTTTGTTTAAAAAAAAACAATTTCAGAACAAATTTCTATAGGATCAAAAAGAAAACAAAAAAGAAACAAAAAAATTTAATTAATATTCATGTAGTTATGATTAATTATAGATCACAAATGAATAATTTTATAACTAAACAATTGTATAAATAAATAATGCTTAACGTTTTTTTTGTGAATTTTTCTAGAAAAATGTATAAATTTAGTTTCATATGCTTATATCTGACACAAGGTCGTAAATAAGGAGCATGCAGTGAGGATCTAAATCACTACTCAGTTGAAAATATACTAGCGAGATGAGCTTGTTAACCATTACACCACGTCGAGGTGCCTCAGATTCAGACGTTAAAACGTTATTAAAAGACTAAAAATAGCTTTTTATAAGAATAAACGTAATTGAGAGAAGCATGCGTTAATAACGGTCACAAGAGAAAAAAAACTCCTTTTGACACAACGTATTTTTTTTTTGTTGCCTGGTCTCAAGTTAAACTAAGGCGATTTTTCATGTCTTTGATCATTCGTTAAAACTTAATGCGCTCCCCGTGAAACATAGCCTTTTGTTGAACTTGGATTCATATAAAAACAAATCGTTCTTCCAGCAGTTCGATGGTGGCTAAGAAACAAGCCTAATGATAATAAAAACAATTTAAAAGTGTCCCGTTAAGTTCTGGGCGTCAGTATTTGCTGTTTGTATCAACTTCCCATCAGCGTATCGACTCATTAACAAACAGATCGATACACAGGGCGTGGGGCAAGGCTAAGTCGTTGGGTAGAAAGAGAGAGGGGAGAAAGGAGGAAGGAAGCCAGAGAGAGAGAGAGAGAGAGAGAGAGAGAGAGAGAGAGAGGGTAAAACAGGAACAGAGAGGGAAAGAAAAACAAATGGAGACAAAGGGAAAGATAGAGAGGTGCGAGGAGAGAAATAAAGAGCGGGTGACGAAACCATTGATGGAGAAGAAGGGAAACAGAGAGATAGAGACAGAGGGGAGGAAATAGGAAGAGATAAAAGAGAATAGAAAGAAAGAAAGAAAGAAAGAAAGAAAGAAAGAAAGAAAGAAAGAAAGAGAGAGAAGCAAGTAGAGAAAGAAAAAGAAAGGCAAATAGTAGCAAGAGAGAAAAAGTAGACAAAGAATGAGAAAGAGGTGGGGAGACAGAGAAACTGAAAGGGAGAAGGTGAGACGGGAGAAAGAAAAAGAGAGTGAAAACGATATAAAGTGAGAAATAATGTTTGAAAAGATAAAAACAGGAAGTAGAGAAAGAGAAGACGATGAGAGAAGAGTAGGAAGAGTTAAAGAGATAAAGAGGGAGAGGTAAGCAAAGAAAAATGAGAGAGAGAGAGAGAAACTGAGAGAAAGAGAAGGTAGTAAGTGATGGAGGGGGAAAGAGTGAAAGACGAAGTTATAAAGAGAGAAATAATGGTGAGGAAGAAAAAAAAACAAAAAGAAAGAGAAAACGAGTTATAAAGTGTAGAGAGCGGTAGTGAAGAAAAGAGAGAGAAGGAGGAATAAAGAAAAGGGGGAGAGGGCGAAAGAGATAAAGAAAGCGAAAAAAGAGAGAAAGAGATAAAGAATGAGGAAGGGAAAAGAGATAGAGGAGGAGTGCGTTGAAGTAGAGTGGGAGAGGAAAACACAGAAAATAAGAGAGGGAGAGAGACAAAGATCGTAGGAAGCGAGCAAGAATGAAAGAGAGAGAAGGAAGAGATACAGGGCGAAAGAGAAAAGTAATTGATGAAGAGGAGACAGATAGAGAGAGGGAGAGAGGGGGAGAGAGAGAGAGAGAGAGAAAGAAATAAAGAAACCTAGGCGGAGGAGGAGAAGAAAAGGTCGACAATGCCATTCGATCTGGATGCGACATTAAATCTTATACAGAATTTGTATACAATGCTAACATCGAGAGGGAAACACGTAAGGCAAGAGTTCGTCGATATTTCCCAAATATCTCTTGTGGATCGGCCATGGTCCGTCAAGCAAGGAATAAACGCTTCGATACTTTCAAACAAATATAAAAGCCAGGCGCGAAAAAAATGAGTTTGCAGCCATTTTTCTTTTCTTCTTCATTATTATTATTATTATTATTATTATTATTATTATTATTTATTTATTTATTTTAATTTGTTTTCTTTCTTTTTGTCATTTTTTTTTTTTTGCTAGTGCCACGGAATTATTTTATTGAATAATAATAAGAATATGAAAGTTTACATGTTCAGTTTACCATTTTATTCCTGTCATATGCAACAGCTTATGCTATTAATAATCTGTAATAACCAACTGAATCAGACCAGAGATAGGACAAGAACAGTCCGGGTTCGTTAAAGACACCGGAACAAGGAACGCGATATTCATGATCAGAATGTTATCAGAAAGAGCAATACAAATGCAGAAGAACGTTCACCTGTGTTTTATAGACGACGCAAATGTGTTCGACAAAGTATCCCACAAAGATCTATTGGAGTTGCTCAGCAACCTTTGCATATTCGGGAAAGACACGAGAATAATCAAAAACCTCTACTGGCAGCAAACCGCCTGCATAAAGATAAAAAAAAAGAGTTCAGAAGATATACAAAAAAGAAAGAAAAGAAAGGCAAGGATTGGTCTGCTCACCGGACCTATTCAACCTATACAGCAATTCTGAAAGAACTGGAAATCCTACCAGGATTCATCATTGGCGGCCAAAATCTTAACAACATAAGATATGTAGATGATACAGTTTTAATAGCAGACACGGAAAGGAAACTACAAAACCTCCTACAGAAGGTAGCGAAGGAAAGCGAGAAGAAAGGACTAAGCATAAACCACAAGAAGACAGAATACATGGTCATCAGTAAAATGGTGAGCCTCAAAATGCGATTTACAGATTGGGACACTAAAATCAAGCAGGTGCAACAATTTAAATATCAGAAAATTGTTTTGACAGAGGATCGAAAAGTGCGACATTGATCCGAAGATGCTTTCCAAAAGCTAAGCCAAGTATTAAGAGACAGGAAAAGTTGATAACAAAGAAAAGATATTGAGCTGCTACGTGATATCTGTTCTTTTATGGCAGCAAATGTTTGACGTTCAAAGCCAAAGATGTTTTTGAATCTAGGCAAAAAAAAATTGTGGTTCTACAGAAGGATTTTGAGGATATCATGGACCAAAAAATGAGCGACGATGAGGTTTTGGAGGATGCATTTCCAAGGAAACTCATTATTAACATAAGGCAGAGGCAGCTAAAATTTCTGGGATACGTAATGAGAAAGGAGGGCTTGGAAAATCTGATACTCACAGGGCAGATAGAAAGAAGGACAAGGGAAAGCAAGGTGACATATTAAAGGGATTTTTCTTCTGGATGGCAGAAGAATACTGGAAGAAATAACAAAAAGACAAAGCTTATAGGGAGCTATAAGGGTGTTGTGGGGTTTTCACAGTGGATGCTGAAATTTGTACTAAACGTGTCCTAAAATAGGTTCGACGTACAAAAACGTTAAAAGGGTATTCATATTTAGGTATAACGCAGATAATCTAGTTGTGGTTGGTAATTTTTATCGACTAAAAAGTGCATCTTGGCCAATTTGATTCCCAAACAGAACGGCGCGTCTCATAGGTAAATAAGAAGTCTATGGTAGAGTAATGGATACCGGCTCGATTGAGTAATCGGATGTCGAGTTCGAATTTCAGTCGAATCCATTACAAAAGACAAAATTTAATACCCTGGGAAAGGTATGAATGCTCTTCTTCCCCCATCTATGGGTAAAAAACAGCAGGACAGAATGGGTTCCTATAGTCTTGGATTGCTTTGGTCTATCGCAGAAAAAATGGCAAAAATACTTTGGGAAAAAAATCACCCTCGTCAGTCACATATCGAAAATACAACTCGCTTTAGCGTTAAATTATGTATGGCAATATTCTCATAGTGATCCCTTTTTGTTTTGACTTTCAAATTGATGCCTTGGGAAAATATTCTTATTTATCTTTAAAAATAATTTCATTCCAATCAAATCGATTACATTCACTTACTAAAGCTAATACCCTTTGGTCAAAAGTATTAATCCTCTTCTTCTCCCTCCAGCTATGGGTAAATAGCAGGACAGACTGGGTTCAATAACGGCTCGGATTGATGAATCGGAGAGCCGAGTTCGAATTCCAGTCAAATCCATTGCATTCACTTATGTGCTAATACCCTTGGGGAAGGTATGAATACTTTCTTCTCCCTCCAGCTATGGGTAAATAGCAGGACAGACTGGGTTCTATAGTCTTGGATGGCAACTGGTCTATCGCAGAAAGAAATTTGTATGTGTGTGTGTGTTGATTGGTTGATTTTTGTTGTTTAACGGCATATCAACTTCTTATGGGTCATTCAATGTCGAAATTTTTTTTTTCTTGAGATACTTGGAGTAAATTGGCAATCTTACTGGTAATTTTTTCATTTAAAAATGTATTGCTGGTATTTTTACATCGAAAATGTACTTTTTATACTTTCCTTGTGTTTTGTTTTTGTTTCACTATTTGGCCATAGCTGTGACCCTAACAGATGCTACCACCTCGGATGTCATACCCAGGACTAAACTTAGTTAATAAATTAAAAGCGCCGAACCGTTTTATATATATATATATATATATATATATATATATATATCTTCGGCCTATATTTTCAAGTATCTTTAATCTTGATACTAGCAGCATGGCAATCGTGCTTGATTCAAAAATCTTCTTGACTCCTACAGCAATCGATATCACTTGACTTAAAATATTTTTTTCCCTTCTCTAACCTCTGTCAACGAGGCCCTTTGCCGTGCTGATGTTGAAATGCCTTAAAAAAAAAAAATCTCCCAGGGGCTATTTTATAATAAACATTAAATCTTTACGAAAAAAGAACTAAACAAAATTAACACAAAACGATCAGATAAAAAGGACTCGTAACTGGAAAAAACCAAATAAAAAAGAATGTTAACAACTTGAACATTTGTCACACCCAAACCCAGTTCTGCGGAATCAGAATCAACGTTTTTTTATTTAATCAAGCGAATGAGCCAATTGGAGTAAAGTGCCATGCAGATTTAAATTTTTCCCAACTTGTGACGTATGCAGCTATCGATTTTTTATATGTATGTCTGAATAGTTAACATTTTATGCGAAAGCATATCATGCTGGCTCTCACGCAGCTTGTAGAATGACTTCCTGCCCATTCGTGGCAGCCAGCGATATTGGTTCTCACTCTGGCCAGTACAAAATGGCCGCAAACTACATGAAAACTGCTGTAAAGTATGAAAAAAAATTGATTATTTCCACTGTCGATGGGAGTTGGGAAATGCAAATCGGTCTTGTCCTTCCTGCTAACACAGAGCATGTTTCATTTTTCTTTTTGGATAAATCGTAGTGAAAATTCAATCGCATTTTAAACACACACACACACACACACACACACACACACACACACACACACACACACATATATATATCCTATATTTTATAGATAGAGATGTAGTCTACTGTAAGTTAATAGAATAAAAAAAAATGAGAAAAATATAACGCGTTTCGACCTTTAAAAGGACTTCATCAGACGTAAAGAATATTCTTATTGATGGAAGCGTGTATATATGTAAGTGGTAGCTGGAAAATATAAACGGAAACGTCGATTATAATTATTTTCACCAAATGGAACTTTTTTTTCTTTTTTCAAATCTTCTTCCTTCACATTAATCTTAATATTTCCGTGAATCTCTTTATTAGTTTTCTGCAATTTAGGAATCACCGAAGTTAAGCAACATCGATCCTGGTCAGTACCTAGATAGGTGACTGTTTGGGAATACTAAGTTCTGTAAGCTTGGATGCGCGGGTGGTGTAATGGATAATGACTACTAATTGTTAATCGGAGAGCCGAGTTCCAAATCAAGTTGGGTTCGTTATATTCACTTAAGCGCAATAATACCCTTGGAAAAGATATGAATCCGCCTCTTTCTCCCGCCGGCTATGGGTTAATTAGTAGGAACTTTTATTATCTCAAAAATAATTCCTAACATTCAAAAATAATCTCTAACATTCTAAAAAATATTTTCTGACTTTAACTAACCTGCAAATGGTTGATAAGTCGTAAAAAATGTATCTTCTTCTCCCCAGCAATGGGTTAATTAATAATTAAGAATTGTTTCCCTTAAATCATTATTTCCAAAAAAATAGAAATAAAATTGCATACTAAGTATTTAGATTCCAGCATTAAATAACACATAGAGGTGTTGATATGCCGTTAAACAAAAACAACCAACACCTTAGGAAAACATAAAATTTGGTAATAATATTAAGTACAGTTTGTGTGTGTTTATATATATATATTAAAATTTTCAGATATGTAATAAGATACACACACACATATATATAGTGATTTTCCAAGCGTAGCTTAGATGTGGCACAAGGCCGAAAGTATGGGTCACCCAATGAGGATCGAACTCACTATTCAGTCGTAATTGTTCTATTGAGACAAGCTTGTGTTTTACCCACCTTTTACTCTCTCTCTCTCTCTCTATATTGATTTCTCTCTCTCTCTATCTCTCTCTCTCTCTATATCTATATATATATATATTCTCTATATATATATATATATATATATATATATATATAAAAAGATAAAATTTAAAAAATAATTTACTTCACAACAAGGAGTTGTGGCAGTTTCTTTTACGTATACCTGTTTCAAATTTAGTATTGCTATTTCTTCTTATTGTTATATAGAGTGTATCACAAAAAGTGAGTACACCCTCACATTTCTTCAAATATTTAAGTATATCTCTTCATGGGACAGCACTGAAAAATTACCTTTTGACACAATGAAAAGTACCCTGTCTGCAGCATATATAACAGAGTTAATTTCTTTTTCCTCAA